TTAATATTAAAAATGCATAAGAAATCAACCGTACGCGTCCGCAGCATTCTGTTGCCGGCAAGTGGTAGAGTAGGTTCAAGTCTTTATTTCATTCAGTGTGCGTGAAATCACGTGACCCTTGCTTCCGGTCGAAAAAGGCCAAAACCGGAAGTGGCTTATTATTTAAAAGTGGTAATAGATATGAACTTGCTTTCAACGGTGTTAGTCTCTTGGCTGATAGTATTCTTCAAATCATTTACCGATGACGTCATGCAATCTTCGAGCGCCCTCTAGCGACAGGTTGAAAATTTTTAAAAATGTATTTCGAATAGATGTCTGTGGCGAAGTTTGTCGGAATCACCTAAATATTGGTGTGTATGATGACCTTGACCCACTTAAGACTTGTGCGAAGTTTAAGGTGTATGACGTCATCAGACCGGAAGTTATAATGAAAAGACCCTTTTTCCTTAGAAAATTCCTGAAAAATCAACCATGGCAGTTTTTATATTAGTTTTTACTTTAATTGTCGATTGAAGGGTAGGTCTAAAACATTTGAAAGCTCTGAGGCAATAAGCAAACTCGGACATGCCCTGCGCACGCTTAAAACTTCGGATTGACAATACCTCTGCTTTGAAATATGCACAGGACGTCCACAATGTACAGTACATGTACATGTACATGCACGTACGTTGTACATATCGTATGTCAGTCAGCCTGCGCACAGCGCACGTGTCGCTTAGGTCAAATCCTGTCCACAGTGACCGTTTTAGCCGATTTCCGGCTAACTTTGACAGATTTTATGTTCATGCATAGTCAGGGACGTATTATTGATAAAAACAAATCATAATGCGGAAAAGCCCTATCTTCTGTTGCAAACAGACATAGATTTCTACTTTTTGTCTATGGGTCCAACAGATAATCAATATTGGGAACAGCTCTGTGGTTGTTCACAACCACAATTTCTAGTTTTTTATTGCTTTTTATAAGTTGGTTGGCTGTCAAGAGTACAAAGCAGGAAGACAATTCCTTTAAGGCATTTTCAGCAAAGATGTGATAAAGTTTCAGTCTGTCGTCCTGTGTGGAGAATATATATATATGTTATTTAGTTGTATTCAATAGAAAAAGCCAACGAACTGAACCTTTTGTGATATGTGCTCAACAACTCATTCCTCAGACTTCAATTTTTGTTGTTGTTGAGTGATCGGGCCGATCTCGATCCCCTTTTGTTTCTGTAAGATATATTTTTTGTTCATGGTGTAATTGGGTGATCAAGCACAACCCGATCACCGTTTAGTAAACTAAATCACAGCGCTTACATTATTATTACCCCTGATCATTGGGCCTGTTAGGCGCAAGGAAGCTAATTCAAACACAATAACCATCCATGCTCTGACAGGTAGCCATTTACTCCTGGGTGGAGAGAAGCAATGAGTGACAAAGTGCCTTGCCCAAGGGCACACGCACCATAACCCCAGGCGGGACTCGAACCCAGGACCTGCCGAATCACCCGCAGACCACGAATTCAATACTCCAGACCACGAGGACGGCCACGGCATTCAACAGATATCAAACTAACCACCGGTTATGTGTTATTTTGCAGCGTGTTTTTATTACTACAATGTAGTACTATTTGCCCTAAATAACTGTTCTTTTGTTCAGCCTTCGGCCGACATTGCATCTTTTGGACAAAAAACAACAAAGAAAACAGCCCCCAAAACGGCATGCCATTCACATATTGAACTATGAAGAAATTCAGACATGACGACTTTTGCTCGCACGATACCACGATCAGTGGTGTATGGCCCCGCAAAGGAGTTGTCAATCCCCCTCCCCCGTGTGCGTATCGCGGACAGACCATCTACAAGACAAGCTTCAATAGTATTCTCAAACTTAAACTTGTGTCTTAACTGAGCTGTCTAGGAACAATAAAAAAAAATTAACAGGTAAACGCTTACTGAACTCCTATACATTCCGTTAACGACGTAAATGGAAAGTTTACAATTTGTTTTCCTGAAAATCGAATCGTAGCGAGGATTGTACAACAATTTGTGATATCAACGACATTTGTTGATCAGACAAAGTATTACAAATTTTCATTCTAGTTCATTTTGTTTTTGTTTTTGGCAATCGTCCCTCAATAGTTATCCTCTCATACCTTAAATGCAGACAATGAATCTTTCGTGCCACTCTTTCGTTAGCTCGGAGCAGAATTTTATTAGCCCATGCAAAGACAAAGAAAAACATTAAAAATATATTTATTTTTAGATGTTAAGCGTATGTTGCATAAAACTCCAAACTCCATATGAAGTCTACCGATACGGTTTCTATTTTTGAGCTGCCATATTTTTTTATGTGCAGCTCCAGACATGCGCTTCAAAAACTAGACCATGTCTTCCGTGTTTTATGTAGGCCTATGTCTGCCGAGTCAGCAACAAAATTCATATAGTCTAAGAGTAAACAGCGATCAAACTCTTTTTTTATTGCTTTTTATAAGTTGGTTGGCTGTCAAGAGTACAAAGCAGGAAGACAATTCCTTTAAGGCATTTTCAACAAAGATGTGTTAAAGTTTCAGTCTGTCGTCCTGTGTGGAGAATATATATATATATATTTCTTTTCTTTTTTTCCGGACAATAATTCTTCGCGGGTTTTCTCCTAGACGGTTTATGGTATGAACTGAATTATGGCAACAAAAACTGAATAAAACTCAAAAGCGGAAGCATTTTACTACAGACACATATATTATGAAAGTGTTTAGTGAGGAATGCCAGACACAAAAACAGTGTGATGACGTCATCATCCGAAAGGGCGCCCCTAGCGGCACATAAAATATTGTTTCTTTTCTTGACTTTTAAAACCATTGATTAATATTTTACCAAATCGACCCTTGATATTCTTTGATTAACCACAGATAACTTGGCAAATTCATGACGTCATCAGACCGGAAGTTACTTCTATGAGAATTTGAAACGATCATGTTTTAAATTTAATTTTATCATTTGATCCATGTCGTATATCTTGGCCCAAATAACGATACCATTAAAATGTTCACCTTTTGCTCCCAAAAACTGTGACGTCATCAAACCGGAAGTTCGGTGTTACGAATACATACATTTATATTTTCCAAATTTTCATACGTTATTTAACTTCACAATGAACATCCACTCCGAACTAAATAAGTATTCACTTTCCGTTTTTGACTAATGACGTTATCAAGCCAGAAATAACTTGTATGTACATTTAATTAATTGTCCTGGAAAGGATTTAATTTCCTGATACTCATTTTTTTTCTTACATGGAAATATTCATAACTTAACTGGACAGTGTTTCATAAAATAGTTGTCTACCCGACCACTCTGCGTTTGTAACAACAAACGCTAATCTCTGGTTGGTTTTGACGTTGCCAGCGTCAAAATTATTCCAGACCCTAAGCCATACCAGAGACAAAATCGAAATTTCACTTCGTGCTAACTGTTACGTAGATTTTGCTTGTAGAAATGTCCAGCAGAAACTGTCTATTGGGTACCATGCAGCATATTTTAAGTCTTTTTATATTCATAATAAACTGGTGCCTTGTGTTCCTTCTGCCATTATGTAATTTATTAATATATAGATGGTGTTCAAATATATTGGTGACTCGAATCGACTCGAGCATAGTTTGACTCGACTCGACCTTTTCACCTAATGACTCGACTCGAGTATGACTCGACTCGACTCGAGTCACAAAATTGAGTGACTCATTAACTTTGTCTTAAGAGCTCCTGAGAACCACTTCGTGGTTGAAATTTTAATATGAAAATGTCTGATATGCACCTTTTCTATTTAGCCACATCATTACATCGCTGCTCCAAACCTTAGAGTTCTCGCTGTCGTAAATTATTCTGACACCTTGACTGTTGTTGCACATATGTCACCATCTTCCACATTGTATAAAGAGGTGACGACTTTTCCATGTCACACTTGGATCGGCAACCTCACTTTTGTTGACGACGCACGTAACCTTGGAATCCAAGAAAGCAATTTCCAGGGATTTCCGCTTCAGCGGCGATCGACTGCCTGCGTCAGTGGGTCTCAGAGCTGCTGCAGACGGTCTGAATTTGGCCCGAGCCACCGGTGGATGGGGGCGCGCGGCGTTCAGAAGTAAATATAGGTCTATTATGGTGGTAATCGGTGCATTTTTTTTAATCAGTCACAACACCTGCAGTTGTACGCTTTAAACCGATGCTGTTTACAATCCTTTCAAGTAACTTGGCTCATTATTTAGAAATTAATGATTTTGACTGTCACCAAAACCTCTTTATGGAGTAGTAACTTTCAATCCAAACTTCAAAGTGTCTGTTGTCCTGACATTGTGTTGTTGGAGCATTGAGTTAAAAAATAAAAGACTGTAATATAATTATGTGAGTCCCAAATCATTGTGTTGGAAAATTGCATATAATTTAAAAAATATTTAAAAGAAAAAAAAATTACACCTTTGGAAAACTGCTTTATTTCGGGTACTTGCTAAATAAGTAGTTTGTATATTCCAGATTATGTGCATCAAGATTTATCGGTTTACAAACCAAAACAAACGTAGCAGATTAATAGGCCTAAGATATAGGCCTACCCCCTATCCGCTCCGTTCACAAGTACCCCCTCACCGGCGAAGAAAGTACAGTTGGGGATGACCGACCGACGCCATCTTGCCTGACTGCAATTTTGCCGCAACGCGCGGCCGTTTCACGTGCGTTTCACGTGCGTCACACACAAGGAACGGTGCGCGTGAACCAGCTAAATGTCCCACCCATAGGACGTCGTTGCTAGGTAAAAGGGCGCCCTCTTTGTTACCGCACGGAGCCCATACACCAGAAACTAAAATCTACTATACTTTTTTATCATCAAAAAGGAGACAGAAATATTGTTCGATGAAGTAAATCATTGTGCAGTCATCTTTACTTCACAACAAGCACTTTATTTTCAATACGTTTATCTTGCCCAATATCAAGCCCAGTTTAATAGCTTGACAACAATTCTCCTATATACAGGCAAAATGACAAGCAACAACCGCCATCTCTTCCAGGCAACTTGCCTAGTTCTCCTCCTTCTACACGCTGCCTTCCACGGTGGAGCCCTCGGTGAGAAGTACTGCGATGACGATTTCCACATGGCGGTGTTCCGGACGTGCGCGGTCAGCAAGCGGAGCCAGCCGGGGATGAGCCTTAGCGACGTGTTGACCATGAACCGCTTTCGAGGTGTGTAATAGGTGCTGATCGTGCTTCAATAGATCGATTGCTTTTCAGAAACCATATTTGAGGGTGTGTTTTGATGGCTACAGTTCAAACGATTGAAGCTAGTCTGGTCCCCCGCCATAAAATATGGGGACCGGTAGCTAGCTCCCATTTAAAGCCATTGATTGGGTCACCTCTCCGCGTGCGCAGTATGATTGATCATTTTTGAAACGACATTCACTGCGGCTTCGTGCATGGATGACACATAGTAAATACGAAAACAACTGACTCTTAGTCTTACCTCAAGCAGTAGTACAAGTACCCTCTCACCGGCAAAGGAAGTAGGCCTACAGTTAGGGGTGACTGACTGACGCCATCTTGCCTGACTGCAATTCAGGCCAAGTTCGGGCAAGGACCATTAGTCGACTAGTGGTTGATTTGTGACGTACCTTACGCCTGCGCACTAATAGCAAAGTGCGAACGTCTCTAGTCGAACGCTGGTCAAAATGTCATTGCAAAACGTCTGGATCCTGGCTCCCTGCTGTACGTTATGAACGCGCGTGGCTATGGTTACCAGCGAAGCAACCAACCCCAGTAGGTTGGTTCCAAATAGTCGACTAGCGTAGTTAACCATCGTCGACTAGACAGAGTTCGGGCAAGCGTTAGTCGACCAATGGTTAACTATAGTCCTTGCGCGAACTTGCCCTATGCCGCGAAGCGCGGCCAGTGCGTGTATATAGTGCAAATCCCCTGGTGTACGTGCGTCACTCACATTGAACGGTGCGCGTCATCCAGCGAAATGTCCCGCCCATGGGACGTCGTTGCTAGGTAAAAGGGCGCCCTCTTTCGTTGGCGCACGGAGCCCATAGGTTTCATATACTGAAAAGTAGTGCCCCTCTCTTTATTGAAAGTTGCGCAAATTAGAGTGCGAGTTCGTTTAGCTCACCCGGGTGGACACGGGTCAGCCCTGTGCCGTTCGATTAGCTCTGACGTCATTCTCGGGGCTCACCCGGGTCAGCCACCACAGACTCTGCTCGTGGAGCAGAGTCACTGGTGGAAGTACGTCATGCATGCGTTGTTCATTACCTAGAAACAGACAAATATGGCGGCCGGACAGCGCGGGAAATCTCAGGTGGACTCAAAAGTTGAATTTATTTGAAGCCTTAAAAGGTAATCATTAATTGAGTTCATTGCGACTTTTGAGGCCATATTTTCTGCCCAACTTTTTTTGAGTTTTAAAATTGACTAACAAGCAGTACTCTCAAACTAAGACTCAATCCGAAACGAGCATTTTGTCAGTGGCTACGGCCACGGCTAAGGGCGTCACGAATGGCTCGCGGTTGAGCGTTCGATTAGCCCGGCTCTCGTGGCTGACCCGTCTGCCTTTACCCGTCGACCCGGGTGAGCTAAACGAACGCACCCTTAGATAGTTTGAATTCAGCGAAGCTCATCACCACAAAAACTGCACAGAGACCAGTCTAATTATAAAGCCCCCTCTGTACAGAGCGCCCCCAAGGACCGTTTCTATAATGAACAGTATTAATGGCCTTCAATTTAAACGTTTGTTTTATTAAGTCTTTTGTATTATTGTTGCTGTATCTTTTGCTATTATTTGAACGCTCATGACATGAAAAAAAACACCTATGGGGCTTGGTATTTTGATAACAAAACGTCAGTCATTTTGAAGATGGGCACTACTTCACAGGTTATATTCGGTGTCATTTAAAGTTCCCTTAATGTGCTTTATACAGGTCACAACATTAAACGAAGCATCGACAGCACACTTGAAGACAACGCCTTTTTCATGAGCGGTTTGGAGAAGAGATCTGAATACACTGGCATCGCCTCGTACTGTTGCCTTCACGGATGCACGCCCAGTGAATTATCCGTCGTCTGCTAAAAACGCGGGTAAAATGCACACCAGCCCCCCCAAAACATCATCATATGAAAATCGTGGAAGGCTGAACTTTCCTGCCACAGTGGAACGACTGGGAAATGAGTTTATAACCGGCTAACGAATTAGAAATTGAACCTTAAGGGTTATCATGGGTTTTTGTTAAATGGATTTTATCTATGAGGCTTAGTTTACCACTTGATATAAACAGACAAAATTCAACCTGACAACGGCTATTTTAGTGTTACACTGTATGGAGTGACGGTGGCGTGTAAGAGCCACATATTTTGCGAGTTTTGTGACGGCCGACGACTGAACTGAATGTAAAACAACCTGTGATTTTTGTTTATGGCTTTGCATAATGAAAAATCGGTTAAGGGTCTGTGTTATCCAAAACGACGCCCTTTAAGCTAACTTATACTGAGGCACTTAGTTCTGAATTCGGATCTAGTACATTAGTGACTTTGTTCAAAACTGGATCTGGAATGTGAGGTCCACCTGCCCTTGATAGCGCCCTCTACCGTCGCGGCAGGGATCGGGACCAGCAGTAAAAGGGGAACAAAGTTCAAATCCTGTCTTGCTATCTTGGCCCAAGTTCTGGCAACAGAAATTGAAGCTTTATTATTGAATTCAACAGTACTGATAGAAAGCTGTTATCAAACAAGCGTCCGCAATGTACAATTATTATTCAAGTTTACTCCATTTATTTGGAATGCGACTCAGTTTCTTCATTTAATGTAAGACCAAATCGAAATGAAAGAATTTTGTGACAGCAATTTCTTGCCAATAGTCTTGCCTTCTTTGACATGAACTAGGCCTACATACTTGCTTCATGAAAACAGTTTTATGAACGGATACGACGTACTTGTTTCATTATTTGAAATAATTGATTTTGTGGGTCCGTCTCCGTACGCAGACTTTGTATCCGTCAAAATGGACGAGTGCAAAATAATGAGAATAGAATTATTTTAATGACGGTAATATTGAGCATATACATGTAATTATGTTAATGACAGTTTGTTCCATTACAGTGTACCGACTTAACTTTATTTCTTAGACGAATGGCAGTACCAACATTCATTTACACAAGTTCTAACTGGTCATGAATTTTGTAATGTTCCTTTTGTGCAATACTTTCTTTGTACATTGTAAGTTAGATGATTATAGTGTAAAACTTAAAGTATCGCTGAAGTCTAGAGGGCGCTATTATGTTTATGTGTATATCAATCAACCTATTCTCTCTGTGACTGTTTCATGTTCGGCCAAATTCTAGTAAGTTCGACCATAAAACAAGGGAAAAGACAATGCCTCGGACATAAGGCAGTACGAAAACCTGACCATGTGCGCGCATGTTTGGTCTGAAATGGAACAAGTGCATGCACACTGTGGTTTGGTCTTTTCTTTATAGGTAACTAACAAATCAACGTGTTCATATCAACGCATGTTTAGTTTGATATTATTGAATGTGTTGTAATTTGTAATAATTTTAAGTAATTTTAAAGGGCCTATGAAATGTAATTTTTTTTATGTAATCCTTGAAAATGCACCTTTGTGTTCCTTTAACCTTATTTTTAATTTTCATTTTGCCATTTTCAAGGGTATTTTGGTGCCTTTTTGGTTTTTATGCTAATGCGAATTTCCATATTCACGAGCAAAAGTCATATCAGGCAGAAACCTCAATGTTGCAATATAGTTTATGCACAAAAAGTTGCCAAAATTTTGGATATTTCACTTTCGTAAACTTTCTTTTCTTTAATGATTCGTTGTTGCATCAGTTCATGGCAGTAAGCCAATGAACAAACTTTTATCACAAATGTTTTCAATGAGCAATTTTTTGGGTTCACTAGTTCAACAGAAAAACACCTAATATGAACAGTGTCCTAAACAATGACATCACGACAACAGCGCCCTCAGTTGTCCGGAAAAGCATGGACAATTTTAAATATTTAAAGAAGTGCACTTTTCAACAAAATTATCCAAAAAGGAATATCAATTAGTTTCCATACACTTAAGAGGGTTAGAAAGTAGCACACAATATGTTCCTAAGAAATATTCACTTCGTATCATGAACCCTTTATAGCAAAACGAGGTAGTATAGTGGATGTATTACAAATGGGGAATTGTTAAGTTCAATAAAAACAGCGAACTGATATGAAGACGAAAAACGAACGTTTGAGTTAGTTTGAATGGCCCTCTATAAACTGGATCTACGCACCTACCTTCTATACATGTACAAATAAAACACGTTCCACCCCAATTTACTGAGTGTGTAGACAGACAATTTAATTCACATTAATTCCCATCAACATTCACTGATTCATTTTATTTATAAATCAAACGTTTTTAAAAGAATTACTTAGAAGTGAAATAACAAAAGTATGAACCAAAAAAAGTCTAGTACCCTGAATCCTGAGCAAAGTAGGCTTAAAACGAGCTTTGTATCGACGTCCGGTTCTACAGAGTTTGTATTTCGATAACAACATGGAGCAAGTTCGGGCAAGTGCTAATAGTCGACTTTGGTTGACTTGTGTTGTAACTTACGCCTGCGCTCTAAAGTCAACGACCGAACGCCTCTCTCAAGTGTCACTTTACGTCATCAGAGAACTTCTCGGTCCTGGCTCCCTGTTGCGTTTCATGATGCTCGCAGGTATTGGTAACCAGCGATCCGGTTCCAAATAATTGGCTAGACTGCTGTCCATCCTTCGTTCGAGCGAAGTTAGTCGAAATACATGTATATATGATTTACTACAGCTCGCGCACAAACTTGCTCATAGTCGTATGGTTTACTCATTTTCAAATGTGACAATGAATGATCAAACCTGTTAGCAAAAACCGAGTGTATTGATATATATATATTACTATTATGGAAGTGTTACCATAATAAAGGATGAAAACTTGTGAAGTTGCAAAACCTAGAACATCACCTGACAGACCAAAACGGTTTAAAAGGCTGTTGAGGATCTTTCAATAACCACACTATCTCAGGTCATCCTTTAAGAAACATATTTGACACACTTGATGTACATACTTGATGTACATACTTGATCTGATATTTGAGCATCTTTACATGTAAACGAATGTCTGGCGGTATCTTTTGCCGTTTGGGATAGAAGTGGCAATGCGGATTTGGTGCAAATTCACGAACTATAAACAAACGTAAACAAAGAAGAAATTGCGACTGTTTCGAAACAACTTCAATATTAAACACCCACAAGACCTTTAACTTAAACTAAAAAGAAAACACTCGGGAATGACATTAATTACGAGGAACGACAGTAACAAAAATATAATATATTACAAAATAACGTAAATGATATTAACTTCATCCTAAAACATCCCAAATTCCCTAAGGACATTAATAATGGCTACCAAGTTACCAGATTTTGACTTAAAATATTGATGCAATAAAGGCAATCTTTACGAAGACTCCAGTAACTAAGTAACTCTGTAAGCAATTTAGTTTTGCTGTGAACAATGAAATAGACTTTATACACGGGTCGGCCATATTGAACTGAAAGCGAGGTAAAATTGTCACTTTTGGAACTTGCGAGTAAAAATGAAAGCAACGAAATAAACTTCATTACAAATTAATACCAGTCTGCTCTGGTGAGTAATTTAAAATTTGTGATTTAACATACCACAAGGTTTCAAGCCACATACATTAAAAACAAAATTGAAAGTGAGGCTTGGAACGCACCCTAATAATAGTCTGGCACCATCCCATTCAACAGTTTAAAATTTATAAAATAGAGTCAGGGAACACGATCGAAAATGGCTTCCTTATGAATAAGATCCACTGCGCTTTACATTGTGGATACACTATCGAATTTTAGAACGGGAATAGCCTTACAGAACAATATTCCTGGGATTTCGGCCGCCATTTTTAAAAGACACTTTACTTAATTTGCACAATGCCACGGACAAAACCCTGTTTTGTTTGTTATGCAAAACATATCCACCAAAAATGTGATGACCGCCGGTTCCTTTCAAACACATGCAAAGATAGTTATAACGACAAGGAAACCTTAACCATAATAACAACGAAACCCACAAATTCAAAATTATATTAAAAAAATACACACGTTAAGTTTATGGCAAACTAAATGACTTTCATCAATCGAGTATACTGAAGTTCAAGTTTATGTATGTACAGAGTCAGCTGATAAGATATTTCCTCTTAAATAACAGAGTAGGATTTTTTTCACAAAAAGTCTAAGGAAATTAAGGCTAGCAATACATTTGTTTTAAATCAGAGAATATCGCAAGGGGTAGCAACTATTTGTTTTCTTGTTTACATCCCAACAGACGATAACCGAATATGTATAGTTGTATCACACTGCTTGGAAATGTAGCCAACAATACAGAAGTGTATAATTTCATGTTTCCGCGCGTTCACTATCATGGCATGTCAATTTGCAACCTGTTTTTTTTGCTCTTTCAAATATCGCTATTATGTGCTATACTGACAAATGTTGTAACTGCTCTGTCCTGGCTCCCCTGCTGTGCATTACTACGCGCGAGGCTATTGGTAACCAACGATGCAAACAACCTCGTTAAGCTGATGTCATAAAATGCAACCAGTAGAGTGCATTCGATGAAGGTGAGTTGAACTTCGATTTAAGCACAACAATAATATCGAAATCTCTCACTTTTTTGGAGCCAGAGAAGGGCACAGCGCATGCGCAAAGTATTTCATGCTTGCATTGGTTAACGAGCGCGTTTAGCATGGAGTGCATGCGTTCGTGCTTGGAAGAGTACCAATAAGGAAACAGTAATATCCCTGATACAAACGTAGTGTGAACAAGTCGTTGATAAAACAACGATGTTTCAATATTTGCTGGCTGCTGAAATTCAAGACTATTAAAAGGAAAACGCCGTCGCTATTTTTAAAGAGAGAGGTTCGACAATGGGTATCAAAATCTGGATACAAACTAGTTGGCGTGCGCGATGACACATCTTACTCATGATGTGTGCTCACCGTATACACTGAATTAGTCTTAGTCATTGAATGCACAAACTCAAAAGTATGGGCAAAACACGGTTCACTGCTTTACAAATATGGGGAAAAAAGCTGATTCACTGCTTTACAGCAGATGTGTACTCAAATGCACGTGTCACTGCTAATTAATGTACCGCTGACTTCAGTTTGACGTCACGGCTAAAAGACGATGAATAAGTTTACCGATGAATGGTGCATGCTATTCTGCGTCCAAAGTTGAGACGCCAGTTGTTCCATCTCTCTCACATTATGAGGGCACTCCACATTATATTCGAACAGTCTTTATGCTAACCAATATTTACAAGTATATAAGATCAACACTTTGCATATTAAAGACAAGTACATGTACGTGCATAAAAACCGACCACAGCTGTTTATATAAACTCACGTTAAAAATATTCATGTTTACAAAACGCTGCACACTCATCGACCACTTATGCATGTGTACTAGGTTTGCATTGCTGTCATTTCAGTCATACACTGTACTATATAAAACACAGAAATGAGTCAAAGCTATACACCAACTTTTGCCAAAGGCGCCTTCTGTTTACCAGGAACTATACACGCATATTTGGCTCGAATTTACACTGCATTTCATGTTGGCCATGAGAAATCATTTGAAACGTTTTACAGAGAGAGTATCCTTTGCTGTCCTGTTGTATATCCTTTTGAAAATTGAATCCCAACCCCAATCTACCAGAAAGAATCGGCAACAGTAGTTTCCGGTAAACAGAAGTTTGCTTTTAGCATCAATTTTATTTTTTTACTTTACGCTTAAAAGTACACTTAAGGCGTAGTGAACTATACTAATCGGTGAGATTTTCGGTAACATCAAAGTCATCTTTTTATTTTTTATTTGTTAAAGCATCTACTCTAGTTTTCCAAACGTACTACGGTACATGTACTTGAAAATTATATTTTTTATAGGACGCAAACAGCATCTTTTACGAAGCAGTGAATGTCAGGCATAGGGTAGTTCATCAAACGGCTATGATATCTTCAGTAGATAGACACACACAATTTCGCTTCATTTCAATTGACTGACTAAGGTACATTTTTGTTATTCACTCTGACCCACAAAAATAACATAAACGTCTATGTTCTTGCCCTGTTACCGAGAAAAAAGTTCGATCTATTGTCAAACCGAATGGGCGGCTTTTAGAATGTAAAAGGAGGTAGAAAATATAACTAAGAATACCATATTGTAAACAAGGTTTTCACTCCGTAATGTTAAGGGCCCGTTTTTGGAAGGGAAGCTTTTGGAATATCTATTTCATGTAAACCTAATTTTGTATGGTTTCGAGACCATTGGGGAACTTTTTTTATTCAATAATTTTTTTTTAATATACAACTAAAATAATTGAAAGTGTTAATATAGTACTGCCTTAAATAAAAGCTTCGTGTAATTATTTGATGGCTTATTAAAACTTGCTATGCTTGTAAAATCAGCAATGGAAGTACAGCTTTTTAAGCTAAAAAGGATACCAGTCACCATTCATATGTGTGCATGCATTTAATAACTTGGATTGCATCGGTTTTTCCTGAGGCTTGACGGCGGTCCGAGGCTGACTGTGTGTTCTCCGACGTCTCGCTTCAGTAGTTGGCATTGTAACAACCCGGGCACCTTGCTATTATTTGCCTTCGTCGTAAAACCCGAACACCAGTAGACTTTATGTGGCATCCAAGTCGTCCCGGGGAAGTGTAAGCTTTCGTTCTTCCATCTCCCAATCTTGATAGGCATTGCAAATAAACACGTTTAAGCCTCTGAGTACTCGCTAAATATTAAGGCATCATCTGAACTGCGTTTCGCGGTAACCAGCAAGAAATCGTGACACCAACGGAGCATCAGTCATATCTAGCTGAAACCGGTTTTCACAGGATGAAACTGCCATAAACTTTGAACAGGAGGGAGAAGGTTTGTATGTACAATATTGCTGGCTCTCACCAGTCTCATAATTACCGGTATAAACCGGATGCCGTTCCAAATGGAGAAACATTCAACTGCTTCCAATTGGAAAAACTCGGCACACACTGGTTAAATCCGGTTGAAACCGGATCGAACCAGAACCAGTTGGAACCGTCTTCCATCAGAGCCGTCTTCTATGGCTTGTAGGTCTCGACGTGCATGTCTACGTTTCGCGCATATCGATACTGGTTTGCGTATTTCCTGACCACCATGTCGTAGAACAGCATCCCCATACCGAAGATGCAGACCATGCCGCCCACGAAGCCGGCCCACAGCGCCGCTCGCTGGTCGGATGTCAATCCACCTGAACAGGAAAGGAAAACGTAATTAAGTACATGTATTAGGCAAATCGACGTGTTCAGTAACTATTGGTTATCATATCTCATTTCGTAGCTAATCATTGATCAACTGTTTCCTTAGACTTGAGGTCGGTGCCCCCAGCTTCAGTCTCCATTTTTCAGTATTAATTTGCAAATTGAGATTTTACATCGGTCTTATCTATACTGTATAAGTTTTAAATCGAAATTTTCCCTCTTAAGGTGTTTTTATGACTTAGACAGATGTATTATTTATTTTTAAAAATCCATAAAACCCAGATCTTAGAAGGCAATATTCTGTTATCTTTTTGACGTCAAGAACTAGCTTCAAGAAAAGTCCGTTGTTTTCTCCATTAAAAAAGCACTGTACAGGGAAAGATCCATATTTATTACCAAAACCTAATTTCCTTCAATTGCCCAGGTAGGTATATTTTCGACGGAACACATCACAACTGCAGACAATATTTTTGTTTTTCAAGCGATATACTCATCACACACGTACCTTCACTCGGCGACTCTGGTGGCGGCGCTGGTGACGTGGCGGGCTCGGCGGTCGTTTGTTGCTCACTTTGGCCGCAGACAAGGGCCACGAAAAGCCCAACCAGCAGGGGTATCCTCATACAAGTGTTCCAAATCATTCTGTGGACGTACAAAAATTGCTTTAAAGAAAAAAATTCAAATGCTGGAAACAACTGTTTGTATAGATATCAATATTTGAACCTGTTCAGTTAAACCGGTGAACTCAACCTCGAGTCCATGGCGTCGAGCAGTACGCTCCCACAGGCTGCTCTCTCTAATGTTGTCTCAAAGTTGAACGTATACCCCTGAGGACGGGGTTGACGATTTGCAAACATCAGAACCATATTTGCAAACATCAGCACACAGAACCATATGCGCGGATGACAGATTTTTTGTTTGCTTTTTTGACACAGTTGAACCTTGCCAAATACCAGATGATTTTCAGCTTAAAATCTGTTCGGAATTGCTGACCTTGTAAAACGCTATGGAAGCCTCGGAGGGGCCTTAAAATCTTTAAAGTCGCACTCATGAATCCACAGGGCCTACATTGGACCAAGTGCTTGGAGTTATGGCAATTATTACTGTTAATTGGGGGAATAATATATTGGTATAAACGAGTGAATCAAAATGTTATTACAGTGGTAATAACAAGGTCTCAAATCGCTTCATAATTAATATCCCTGTTCATCAGGCAATGAGCCCTGTTTTTGCAGCAGCTCGAGATCAGTACATTCGGGTCTCTACCTTCATAGGTACCCATTCAAACTCCTGGGTGGAGAGAGGCAATCGTAGTTAAGTGTCTTGCCAAAGAACACAAGCACCGTTTTCCCTGTCAGGATTCGAACCCACGTACTATGGCACATGAGTCGAACACCGTAACCATTGGGCCACAGCCTAAAGCACGAAAATAATCCACTTGTAAAGTTTACCCCAATTGAAAAAAAAATTCGTATGGGGAAGGATCCAATAGCGAAACCAAAACGTCCTTGGACAACGATTTTGTGGGGTTTTTTTTCAGAGGAAAATGCGCTGCAGGTGTCTCAGAGGGTGTTTTATCATTTTAATTTGTAATAATGAATAAACAAAATGTTAATTCGTGCCTATTCAAACAATACAAACTAAATGTACTGTATTGTCATCTATAACTCCGCCTTAACGAGTAATGTCTATTGCAAAAGCATAATTTACATGCAGAACTGGAATGAAAATGTAAACAGGTTAATATTTATTGTGGTAATTGTGTGTACTCTTGGACCAGCTTTAATAGGCCTGCATTGTTTAGAAACCTTTTTTCAAACAATGAAGTTTAACAAAATTGTGTAGGAATTATCTTTAAATTAATCTAGAAATGTTGGTGTGTGCAATATGTGAGGCGTTCTGGCAAAATGAGACGGAACCGGGCACGGGCCGTAGTGGAGAAACAGGCCCAAAGAACCCCAAAACTAAGGGGCAATTCCCCCCCCCCCGATTTTCGGGTTGATTAATATTTGTAATCTTTGATATGTCTACTAGGCCTAATAGTGCAAAAGTCGTGGAATAAATGTGTTTTTGAGGAAAATTAATTGACATCTTTCATTTTCACGAATACAAACCTGGTAACTTTAAAGGTCTTTTTCTCAGTATTTTACTTTTTTGGACTGGTCGATATAAATGCTAACTTTAAACAGCCATAACTTGTCAAATGTCCAATTTGAAGTGCAATAAATAGTATTGTAAAAGTAATTGTATTCTCTTCCTAATACCCGCAATCCCTCATTTCGACCTCTGCCCAGTTCTTTCTCATTTTGCCACAACACCTCACACATAACATCTGTTGACGGGTGTCACGCTGTATGCCTCTAGAGGAGTGAAGTCAGGTATGGTTGCTTGCCAGCTAGCTTACGAACAAACAACAATCATTCAATCTCAACGTCATGAATCATTTGTCTGCATTCAACAATGATCCCCGCCATAAAT